GTTAATTCAAAGAAATGTTGAGGAATAAGGAGGATAAGTGGTTAAAATAATATTATAGATATTTCTTAATGAATTCTGACTTTGTCGAGCCTTGAGCACCACGATCACTCTTAGGACTATAGTTCATTCAAATAAAATATAAAAATACATTTTCAATACAATGAGATTGCTCTGGAGTAGAATACTAGCTTTACCACAGACTGACTAATTGGCACACTGACAACACTAAAATGCTTCGCCTTTCATGCTACATAGAAAACGCCACCCTAACAGTTTCGGTTCGGATATTAACGCCGGATATTCGAAGATTTCCAACTATCCGACAACCTTATCCCAAACGTTATATAAATCATCTTATAATCACTTTGACATTAAAAATTTTAAATACTTTTATTTTACATTAAAATTACATCAAAATAGTTCATTCAAATAAAAAATAATTTTAAAAATTATTGTGGAAATATTTTTATATTTTTAAAAACAGCATTTCGATATGGAGTGTTTGTTAAAATACAAATAATTGGGTTAATTACAGGGATAAAATATACCCAAACAAAAATTAGTATACGAATAATGTTTGGCATATTGTTGTTTGTGTAATCAAAGTATATAAGAATTAAAAATGTTGCATGTTTTACGAAAGGAACAACAGCCTAAATATTATAAATATTAAAGCATGTTTTGAAAAATCAGAATTAATTTAAAACAAAATCAGAATTGATTCAAAACATACCAGAATTAATTCAAAACATACCAGAATTAATTTAAAAATATCAGAATTAATTTAACACATACCAGAATTAATTTAAAACATACCAGAATAAATTTAAAACATACTAGAATTAATTTAAAACAAAATAAGAATTGATTCAAAACATACCAGAATTAATTCAAAACATACCAGAATTAATTTAAAACATATCAGAATTAATTTAACACATACCAGAATTAATTCAAAACATACCAGAATTAATTCAAAACATACCAGAATTAATTCAAAACATACCAGAATTAATTTAAAACATACCAGAATTAATTCAAAACATACCAGAATTAATTCAAAACATACCAAAATTAATTCAAAACATACCAGAATTAATTCAAAACATACCAGAATTAATTTAAAACATACCAGAATTAATTTAAAACATACCAGAATTAATTTAAAACATACCAGAATTAATTCAAAACATACCAGAATTAATTCAAAACATATCATAATTAATTCAAAACATATCATAATTAATTTAAAACATATCATAATTAATTTAAAACATACCAGAATTAATTCAAAACATATCATAATTAATTTAAAACATACCAGAATAAATTTAAAACATACCAGAATTAATTTAAAACATACCAGAATTAATTCAAAACATACCAGAATTAATTCGAAACATATCATAATTATTTTAAAACATACCAGAATTAATTTAAAACATACCAAAATTAATTTAACACATACCAGAATTAATTTGAAACAAAATCAGAATTGATTCAAAACAAAATCAGAATTGATTCAAAACATACCAGAATTAATTTAAAACATACCAGAATTAATTTAAAACAAAATCAGAATTAATTTAAAACATACCAGAATTAATTCAAAACATACCATAATTATTTTAAAACATACCAGAATTAATTTAACACAAAATCAGAATTGATTCAAAACAAAATCAGAATTAATTCAAAACATACTAGAATTAATTTAAAACAAAATCAGAATTGATTCAAAACAAAATCAGAATTGATTCAAAACATACCAGAATTAATTTAAAACATACCAGAATTAATTTAAAACAAAATCAGAATTAATTTAAATCATACCAGAATTAATTCAAAACATACCATAATTATTTTAAAACATACCAGAATTAATTTAACACAAAATCAGAATTGATTCAAAACAAAATCAGAATTAATTCAAAACATACTAGAATTAATTTAAAACAAAATCAGAATTGATTCAAAACAAAATCAGAATTGATTCAAAACATACCAGAATTAATTTAAAACATACCAGAATTAATTCAAAACATACCATAATTATTTTAAAACATACCAGAATTAATTTAACACAAAATCAGAATTGATTCAAAACAAAATCAGAATTAATTCAAAACATACTAGAATTAATTTAAAACAAAATCAGAATTGATTCAAAACAAAATCAGAATTGATTCAAAACATACCAGAATTAATTTAAAACATACCAGAATTAATTTAAAACAAAATCAGAATTAATTTAAAACATACCAGAATTAATTCAAAACATACCATAATTATTTTAAAACATACCAGAATTAATTTAACACAAAATCAGAATTGATTCAAAACAAAATCAGAATTAATTCAAAACATACTAGAATTAATTTAAAACAAAATCAGAATTGATTCAAAACAAAATCAGAATTGATTCAAAACATACCAGAATTAATTTAAAACATACCAGAATTAATATAAAACAAAATCAGAATTAATTTAAAACATACCAGAATTAATTCAAAACATACCAGAATTAATTCAAAACATACCAGAATTAATTTAAAACATACCAGAATTAATTCAAAACATACCAGAATTAATTCAAAACATACCAGAAATATTAATGTTTTTGTTAATTGTCTAAACAATCTTTTCATATTTTCATCAAATATGGCATGTGAATTAACGTATCTAATCATTTCAATTGCACAAAAAAATATTATAAAAAATGGAACAATTTCAATCAAAGCTGATATTAAAATTCCCGAGATTCCAACCTTTTTATAAAAATTATTTTTAAAAAATTTTAAAAATACGTCATTCATTTCACATATCCGATTTCCGGCGTTTTTTTTCTTCCGATTTCCGAAAAAATTTTGATTTCCGAGTTCCGACTTTTGAGCTATTTTCGATTTCCGACAGTTCCGATTTCCGACACCTCTGACTGCTCCGGCCCAACTCTGCCCGTTAATTACCTGTTTAAAATTAAATATCTATATATAAATTGAACACATAATCCGTTTGTATTTAAACAAAAAATTAATTGGTAGGCAAGATACAGAATATAAAAAAGTAATGGCTTAAACTTTTCTTTCATTAGATAAACCAGAATCCCACCAGTAAAGATAAAAAGTGCATTTCCATCCTTGTCGGTTATATAAAACTTAAACAGATGTTTTAAGATTGTTTTTAAATTTTGTTTTTAATTTTTGGGTTTTTCCCGTAAATTATCAATGTTTTTTCTAGAAAGCAATATTATTGTCTATATACTACCGGAAACTATAACTAGGATTCAATACTATAGTAAAAATTAAAACCCCGTAAAAATTGTTCCTCGTCCTTGTCTCCGTCCACCCCTACCTCTCGCGTGAAGAAATAAAAATCTTCTTCCCCCTCCGCGTGGTGCTGGCTCCCCGAAAATTGTGCCCCGTGGCCCCCCCCCCCCCCCCCCGTCGGGGACCAACCCTAGAAATAAATAAAGAACAAATATCATGAATTTTAGAAGTGCCCACTCTTAGCTGTCACAAAGCTGAGGAGTTGTGTAAAAATATTTGCCAATATTCTCGAGTGAGATTTCCCCAATTTGCGAACGACTTATTGTCGAAGTGGCTACAAATTTTTGTGTGGTTTAGCGTAAATTATTGCCTCAAGAACAGACATTACAGCTTCAAGTCCAGTGAGAATTGAGGCAGGTTCGTCATTTACCCAATGTACGTCATATACCTCCCCTACCCCTCCATTTTATATTAAATGTTCTAATTTAATTCTGGTTTAAGTTTTACCACTTGTATAAACATTTGAAATGTTAATAACAAAATATCCAAAACACAATTTTGTATCAGAATTCTGCTGTGTGTTTTCATTTCTTTTGGTGTTTTAAAAATAATTAAAATAATCAGAATAATGTTTAGAGGATAACCAAGTAATAAACTTCCCCAATAATCAAATTTAAATAAAATATCAATTAAAGCTGTCATTTTTTTAATTAAAAAGTGACTGCTTTACGAATTTTTTCAGTGAAAATTTTTAAAAATATTTATTTAAAAGTAAATGTCGTCTAATTAATTTTAAAAAATTTTCACCTGTTATATTTATTTAATGTCATTATAGACAAACAAAAAAAATTTTTTTTAATATATTTAATTATAAGAATAATTAATGCTTTCATTTTATTAAAGTTTTAGCTGCCAGATAAACAAGGTTGCCAACTTTTTAATAAAGTGCATACTTACATCAGAATATTTTTAAATTATTGTTTAAAAAATTAAAAGCAGAAGATGGTAGTTAAAACTAGAGTAGCATGAGGACCTCGCCGAAGCCGAGGACCTTGCCGATTTTGCAAACTCGACCTCTAAACCGACCAAATATTAAATGGATCTGTTAAATTTTGGTAGAATATAATAATGAAGTACAGGAGTGTCCCGAAACAAATTTTAAAAAGTGAAATGCGGAACGCGAAAGTCAATTCAAAAAAGCGAAATGCAAACGTCGAAAGTCCAAAGACGAAAATCCGCGAAAGGCGAAACTGGCACTTCACTTTTTTGCCCAATCTCTTCCCCAATTTCATTTTCAATCCAAAATGTTGATTTAAAAGTAGATACTTTAAAAAAAGTATGAATGAGAACCCTGCTCTAATATATTCTTCGATCCTTCTATTCTTCGGTCCTTTCGTAGAATGTGCTTATATCAGGGAGTGTAATTCATATCATGGAGTGTACTTCAAATAGAAAGTGTGGTTCTATTAGAGCATTTACGGTATGCTGTATTAACAATCAGAATATTTTTAAATATTGCTTATAGTACGCAAGTAACGGAAAATTTAAGCAAAAATAAATTTTAAATTTATTTACAAAATTTTTTTATTAAAAAAATATACATAAAATGTAATATAAAAATTGAAAAATCAAAACAAAAAATTTTTGTCTTTCGTTGTTCCTTTTTCGTAAAAAAGTATAAAATTATATATTATTTTTGGGTAATAAAAATTATTTTTTTGAAGAAAATATAATTCAAGAAATATTAATATCGGTAGTAATTAAACGTTGAGTAGAAGCAAGTGCATCCACTACAGTTGGACGAAATTTTTTATCCGAAATAAAAGAGATTCCAGGTATTGAATAAATTGATTCCTAGAAATAAAATTTATTTGAAGTGAATGGGGAGAGGGTATAGGTGAAATTTTAAAACCAGACTAGGACATGGAGATACGGATACGGATACAGATATTATGAAAATTCTTGCGGATATCCGTCTGTATCCGCCGTAAATATCCGGATACCAAAATCAGTATCTGTGTCTTAGTGTGGTTAAAACAAATGAAAATTTATTAGTGTTGGGGAGGATGAAAGTTCTTAGGTACTCATTAGGAATGGATTTCCTCGAATCTGGTTTCGGGTCGACAAAAGTCCGTGTTTGGGATAACCTATACCTAGACTGACTACTCATTAAGATTTCCCAGGAATTTTTTTCTACAGTCGGGGATATTGGTTCTTAATGTTGAAACCAACATCCCCGAAGGCTTTCATAAAAAGGTGTCTAACGCTTACATTGTCTGAAAGCCTGAACAATTGTTCAGGAAAGTCTTGAAAGAATGGGTGTCTCATTGCTTTAACTGCTCCAATTCTTTTATTTCCATCATACTAAAAAAATTTTGAAAATTAAAAATTTTTTATTTTTGGCATAATGCTTCTTTTTAAAATTTTTGGCGTAATGTTTATTTTTCTAATTTCTGGCGAAATTTTTATTTTTGACTTTTGGCATATGTTAATTTTCTAAAATTTCTGCATAAAATTTATTTTAAAGTTCCCTTTAGATTTCAACACTAAAAGATATCTAAAGGGTAACTCGCCTCTGGAATAGGGTTGGAGCCCGGTCCGGTTCGAAGTTCGAGTCGGGTATCGAACTTTGGTCCGAAAAAGACTATCGGGCCGGCACGATAAAAATGAAACCCGAAAAAGACTCAGTCAGTCTGGTCGAATAGAAACGAGGCCCGAAAAAATGACTCGAACGTCGGCACGACTCGAAACCCCCAACCCTACTCTGGAATAAGCGGCCCCTAGAGGGTTAATCTAGTGCGACGGCCTTTTTATTAAAATTAACCTTTAACAATTTCAATAATAAATCAACAGTAATTGTATCCAATCTTGGAAGGCAAATTAAACATTTTGGGGAATGCTGCCGAAAATTTCTGCATTTTTTGAATCCGGGCAATTCTCTCAGTTCTGGGTGTGTTTCTGAATTTGGAGTTCCCAATTTTTGAAAAATTAATTTTAATTGTTCTGTTGGGGAACTTCCAGGGAACAATGGGAGGTTTGTCAACATTTCATAAATTATACAACCAACAGCCCACATATCTATATGTGTTGTATATTCTGTTGAACCTTTAAAATAAGGAATTTTTAAAATTAAGGATAAATGTAAGTGGGATAAAATGTCTTTAAAATGTTTTTTGAATTTCCCCTCAGGGAAACACCGATGGAGACTATAGTAAATCTCGAATGACATATTTAATCCTATTATAGCAAATTAAATGAATCTCAATGGCTGGCCGAAACTTGCGGACCGACTTTTGCGGACAAAAACTTGCGGACCCGAGGAATTTCTCGAAACATAGCTCATTCGAAAGAGCTCGACGAGCTGAGTCGAATGACATCAAAATCATCGTGATTGTACAAGCTTGGACAAAGTTACGATAGAAAAACAAAAACATAAACCCCTGGTCCGCAAAAGTCGGTCCGCAAGTTTCGCACTACCGTCTCAATCATATCACCTCCAAATCCTATGAATTTACATATATACAAACCCTAAGGCCTTATAAAAATTTTCGGTGGACACATTGAAATAAAGGCTATTTTCCGTCTACCGTATCTTTTAATAAATTAAATTAGATTGATAAGGGTAATATAACGAGTGTATACCAAGGACCTAGTCGACGAAAAATAAATCCTATAATTCGGGAAATGCCATTTTTTAAAATTCACGATTTCGAGAATTGTGATTTCTGTCCCAAAAAACGTTAGTGGATTTGCCATATCCCTGATAGATACAGTATAAGGTGATCTTTCAAACATCACCCTGTCTATTTCAAATTGCGGTATAAGTCGGAAAATTATGATAACATAGAGATTTTCACAAATTTGATGGTACAAGTCAACAAGGGGTGATAACCTGAGATTCCCTCTATAATAAACGATAATTTCTTTACCAAGTAAGACATCTGGAGGTCTATACCACAAAGTAACAACTTCACTCGAGTAACTTTTAGTAGGTATAGATTGTGCTCTAGCCAACCCAAAATCAGCCAATTTAAGTTCTCCTCCTTTAGTCACAAGTAAATTTTGAGGTTTTAAATCTCTATGTAAAATTCTTCTAGAATGGCAATAGGAGAGCCCTCTGAGTAATTGAAAGGCAAAAAGCTGGACGTTTCTTATGGACATTAAAGTTTCGAGTTCTTCCATATATTCTCGTAAATCTTGTTCAACAAATTCAAAAACGAGTGTTAAAACACTGAAAAACATAAGAGAAAATGAAATTAATAACGTGAAACCTCATTATTTAGTGCTCTCTTAGGGATGAAAAATCTTATCATATAATGATGCATACCTTAAAAATGGAGTGCATGTTCTCCCCCCACCCCCCCCCCACCCATGGTGGCTAACCAAATTTTGGAAAACATATCTTAAATTGAGGAGTATCATTCACGTAGGCGCTCCCTCGCATTTTAAAATGACAGATGCAAGTGGAAGAAACTAAAAAAACGGAAGCCGAAAGAGTTCCCATCACTTGTAACAAGTAATGTTGGATCTCGATTATGTATACCCTCAGGAGTCCTCTTTTTATGTATTCGATTCACAAACGAGCGTTAAAAGAGGAACATTTGGATAAAGGATTCAATTCGGTCCTTAAAGGTGGAGTTTATTGAGGGTTTATCGTAAAATAGGGGAGGGGGGGGGGTCCTCAAAGAGGGTCTTCAACCCCGAAGGGATACACGCAAGCAGGATTGCCCATACTAGGTCTATCTTATAGCAATGTCTGGCCGAATTAATCTAAGTAGCTAGCTACCTGTCTGTATGTACAACATCGTGTAACGTAACAATATTAGCATGCTTCAAATTTCTGAGCAAACTAACTTCCCTTATCCTTTAATTTAAAACTTGAATTAAATTCCCAAAAATTAATTAAAGTTTACGCAGTACACGGTGCCCCTTCTTCATGTTCTAACCGAATTTCTTTCATTGCCACACTTCTCCCAGTTAATAAACTTTGCCCCAAATATACTGTTGCATAAGTTCCTTCCCCCAAATCAAAAATTTTTTTGTAGGTTTCGGCTCTGCCAAAACCAATTTCGTTGAGGGATGCTCGGCGACATTTTCTGCTTATTGGGTTTTCGACTGCTGGGATTCTGCTCAAATTTTCTACAACACATTGGGGGATGTTTATATAGGCGGGTAGTGAAAGACGTTTTTGGATTTCTGCCTAAAGAATTTTTAAAATTAAAAATTTTTTTAGTACTCTTATGTCTCCTTTACAATATAATTTTTACCAAATGTTTGTGGATTCCAATAATGTCGGACCTCACTTACGAGTATAATAAGGTGCATCATAAATAGGAGGCATCGTTTAGTTCCTTCGCCCAAATGAAAAAGTCGCCCAACCAATAGCCAAACAAATTATAGACACGACTCATCTCGTATATCTCTTTTGAATGTGGGTCTTGATAAGTTTAACCATTGTAACTAGAGTTGGCCGGGATCCTGGTCGGGATCGGGGGGATTATCCCGGTCTTTTTGAATCGCGATTTTGCTGATCCCGAGGCCGAAAGATAAATCCCGATTCCGATCCCGGGATCATTATTCCAAAATCCCGATTTTACTTGTACCCTATGGGTTTTGACTATTTTTAACCCTGTAACTATGCACTTTGTCAAAATGAAGTATCTAGCCTAGGATGTCTCCTATATTAAGGAGGTTCGAACATCGGCATTGAATCGACCATCAAAAGATATATAAGAGTACAGTAACCAAAAGACTAAATTATCAAAACCCCTACCTCCAATCTTCTCCCTTCCCCTCCTTTATCAGTAGCATTATTATTATTAGCTGTAGCCATTGCCCCATTATTATTTCCTCCTTTTTTCTTCCTCAATTTAACATTAGGTACATAAATAGCAGTAATTCTAGAATGTGGGGATGTTGAGGAAGAATTTGTTGTTTCTCCAGAAGAACTTGGAGAAACTTCAGCAGCACTCTCACCATCAGATCCAAGCCTTCCATTTATTGTGGTTATGGAGGAAGTTGAGAAACTTCCAAACCAACGGGGGGCATGCCAACTTTTTGTTCTTGAAGAGGAAGAAGAGGAGGAAGAATTTTGTTGTTGTTGGGAGGGTTGAGGGTGTTGCAGTTGTTGACGCTTTTTTGAACGTAAAGTAATTTGTGGATGTTTTTCTTCTATTGTATTTGATGAAGTATTTAATTGAGTTTTCTTAAAAATAAATTAGCAGTAACAAGGAGAAGTTTAATTTAATAACGCGTGGTATCATAATTCCAATAGACGCTCACCTCTACTCCCCTCTTCAATAAATACCCTCCGAGAGAAATCCTTCGCAAGAAGGCGTTTATTAGAATAGGCGTTTATTAGAATACAGAATAAACTTTTCCTTACATTATTCCCCTCCTCTTTAACACAATTTTGTTGTTGGCAAGGCTGTACTCGATTACTAGGCCCTTCCTCTTCAACAGTCATTTCCGCAATTCTCTCACCCAACTGCGAAAGGGAATCTGACAGGCTCCAACGATACCTATGGGAGGAAAATAAATTTATTTAATAACCTTATTTAAATGCTAATATGAAAACAGTGACCGGAAAAGCCTTGAATAAATTTTTAAAAAATAATTTTTTTATAATAAGGCATGAATGAATGAGTGACTCACGTCTAGGGTTGCCAGAATAGACCGACACAGTCCAAAAGATAAAGTCGAGCATAGGATATTTTGTCCTAAAGTGACTCGTATGGCCCAGTTAAATAAAGACATGACCGAAAAAATGCCTCAAACGTCGGTCCAGCTCGGAAACGGCAACTTTCCTCTTCTCTAAACAGTCAGGGACTCCCCTACAGTATGCAGGGCAGGGCTGGGCGTAATGAAAAAATAAAAAGCGAAATGCAAAACTTTTCGCGCCAAAAAATGCGAGAATGCGAAACGCGAAAATGCGAAATAAGCCCAGCCCTGATGCAAGGTCCCAAGAAAGCTTTCGACCCAAAAAATTTTTTCCTTCCTCACTTTGATTTCATTTTATTCGTTTCTGTATCTCTATTAGAACGAAGACTAAAATTATTATTTATTCCAATTTCTGATATTGTTGGGGTTATATTTCTTTCTTGTTGTTGCTCAACAACAATATTATTACCACCCAATACACGGCTGATTCGTTGCCTTATTTTCTTCATTTTTCGTTGTTTAAAGAAAAAAAAACCTTAAAAAAGAACAATTCAATAAAATAAATGATGTTAATTTTTAGAAAAAGAGAGAGATGGGTGGCGGTTGTTCGCAGGTTTTAATTAATTGCGTTGTGGTCGATTATTGTTGTTTGGGCGCGGTAACATTTGGGCGCGAACGCTTGTATTGACAAATTGGGGAAACTTAGAGGTATGAAATTTTGTGTGTATGTCCTCGATAGTGATCTCTATCTCTGCTAAAAATTTCAGAATTTTTGATTCAGTATCTCTAAAGTTATGGGCGAAAAACTCAAGAAAATAGGCTATTTTCCAAAAATCAACATTTTCTACCGTAACTCCACAAATACTAGACCAAAAAATCCTAAATTTTTAGACAAGTTAGATAACTCTATTGGGTGCATCTGTGAAAATTTCACCTCTAAGGGTAATCTTTAGGAGCCGTTTAGGGTCGCGCCAAAATATCACTGCGCCCAAACGTACTCAATTAAGAAAGAAGAAAATTGCCGCCTGACAAGAAAAAAGTGAATTTTTTAGTTAAATGGGGTTAACTAGATCATTTTATTTGGTTTGGATGTATAAATAAATTGGTTAAAAGAAATAATAAATAAATTTTATTTTTATAATTCAAATGGACAGCTGAATGAAAATTGCGCGCGCATTGGGGAGAAAAAGTGGAGGAAAAATTGGGGAAATAAATATAGAAAATTGGGGAGAGAAAATAGGACAGTTCTAAAGCCTCGGGCATTAATTTGGAATTATGTGAAGCCTAAAATGGAGCGGAAAATTGAATAATTTTTTGGCTAATTTTTAATGGTAAAAATGAATGGAAATTAAAAAAATAATTTTTGAAAAATTTCAAAGAATTTTTGAAAATTTTTTAAAAAATTTTTAAAAATTTCAAAAAATTTTTGAAAATTTTTGAGAAATTTTTGAATTTTTTTAAAAATTTTTTTTTGAAAATTTAGATGAGTTTTTTATTGCCATTACAGAAAATTTTCCAAAAAAAAATTTATTGAAATTCTTTTAGTGCACCTTTGGGGCTGGAAAATACAGCAAATCAAAATAGTAAAGTAGGGGTCTAACTTAGGCACCCCCCTCATCAATGATCAACCTATTATAAAAATTTAACTAGACATTAATGGGGGTATATTAAAATGAGGTTAAATCAAAGCAACCAGATCATAGCCATCCAACGAGCATTCTCTCTGAGTTATTCCTACAATCACTAATTTGACACCCTCGCTCGAGGGTATTTTTTGTTAATTTAATAGCCACTGCCTAGATAAAGTTGCCTAAGCGATACTCTCAAATAACAATTTAATAGTGCCGAATTTTTAGCCCCATGTATGCACATACATAAAATAAGATCCGGCTGAAACCAACTTTAATAAAAATTTGATCAAAAAATTTTTTATCGATCTTTTGGATTTAAACTAAAAATTTTAAAGGGCAAAAGCATGTAATAATAATTAAAAATATATCAAGTCAATTAAGGGCGGTCAAAAGAAAAAAAAATAAAATAAAAGGGGGTTAATGCGCGCCACACACTTCAACCAGCCAAACACAATCACTCCTTCCTTCCTTTCCCGTTCTTTTCAATTCTTTCCAAAATTTTTCTATTTTCAGCTCGTCATTAAAAGAGCTGTGTGTCATGTCAAAATAAATTAAAAACCTGATCAATCGTTGAAAAAAAAATTTTTTTTAATTTTTATAGAGGGCGGTCTTTTCTTCTCCTTTCCCAATTAAAGTAACCGCCGACTGAAGAGGTTAGCGCGTGTGGGCGCGCGGGGGGAGATAAAATGGCGGTTGAAGGCTATTTAGAGAGACAATTTGTGTGAAAAGGCGAGAATTGTGAAAATTATTTTTTTATTTTTAAATTTTGGGGGATTAACGGAAAGATAAATGAAGGGAGAAAAAGATTTTTGGTAGATTAAAAAAATATTTTTTTTAATTCAAGTCCTCTTAATGAGGAAATATGTACTTAATATTAAAAATAATATTTGAAAAAAAATAAAAATAATAATTAGAAAAAATAATACTACCCAAAAGATCAACAAATCCTCCAGTGATCACCCACAGGTTAAGGAGTAGGGTTGGGGGCCCGATCCGGCCCGGTCCGAAAGATCGAGTCGGGCATTAGATTTTAACACGAAAAAGATGAGGCCCGAAAAAGACTCGGTCGGGCCGGCCCGATAAAAATGAGGCCCGAAAAGAATGATTCGAACGTCGGCCCGACTCGAAAACCCCAACCTTATTGAGGAGGGTAGTCTCCTAATATCAGTCTCCTACTATCCTTATTTCCGGTTGCCTTTCTTCGGTTACTACAAAAAATAATTTCTGAAAAAATCCCAAAAATATTGTTAATCTGTTGATTTTTTTATTTTGTTGATCTTAAGGGTAAGCATAACAATAAGACAAAAAAGAAGGAAAGAAGAAGAGATTTGGAAGTAATTAAAGGATCCTTTAATTTTAATAGGTTAATCCGTAGTTTTTTAGGTTACCCGTTAAAATAGAGGAAGGATTGTTTAATATTAGAGATCTTGATTTTTCACGAGGTTTTCCCTCTATTTTGGTATTTGTGAGCATTTGGGCCCCTCTCAAGCTTACCCAGAAGACTAGCAAAAAAAGGAACCTTTGAGATAGTGGCGGGATATCCATATCCTATAAAAGTCCGGATACCCCGAAATTTTCGATCCGGATATCTTGTCATGTCCGATGTTCATGCTGTGGAAAAATTCATTGGATGGGAGATGGAATAGAACCATCACGGAAAGGGCTCAAACCGAAAACACAACCAACTGTGCCACCATCCAACCCAATGCTGTGTTATTTATTTTCATTTATGTTCTTTCTGCAAGTGCGGACACAACCATCTGATCCGGAATTTCGCAAGATCCTCCAACACTATTTTGAGATTTTTTATCGTTTATCTTTTTGAGGTCGGTCTTCTGGACTTTACCCAGTTTGGAAGAGATTTTGAATGATTTGCCCCCAAATATTAAAAATAATTTTAACTGCTCGTCAAGAAAAACCTGCTTTTTCTCGTTACATAATATTATTTATTTTATAAAACTAACGGGAATATCATCAACCGGATAGAAAAATAAAAACGGAAAATTAAAAGAAAAATGTGTGTTTGTTGTTGGTTAGTCAATGGGAAAATAAAATAAAAATACAAAAGAGAATTGCAAACAGAAAAAAAATTTTTATTTGTGTGTGTGGATTACGGAAAATCTGGTAAATTAATGGAAGCGGTAAAGGGAGAGAGAGAATGAAAAAAAATTGGGTGGTAGAAGGTTGATGGAAGGAATGGGGGCTATACTCTACCACAGCTCAGTCTACCGCAAAAATCTGTGAAGAAGGTAATGAAGGCAGGGTAAAGTCAATTTCGGACAAGATTTTAGGGTTCTGGTTAGGGTTGCGCCCCGAATCCCGAGGGCACGTTTTTCGGCATGCGTTGGAGGATGCCTGACAGAATAGCTCACAACTTATTGTCAGTCATACTTGGATTCGGGGTGCAACCCTAGTTCTAGTCGAGCTAAGTCTGAAGATGTTCGAAGGTATCGAAAAGTCTTGGTATTACATTAAAAAAATGTGTTGACTTTATGGATGATTGGGCTTGCGGTAAACTGGCCTGGAAAAGACTGGGCAGGAATTGTTGTAAAATGAATGGAAAACATTTATTGATAGAAAAAAGGTAATGGGAAAAAGTTGATTTAAACAAAAAATTCTACGAGATTATTTTTAAAGAAGAATTGTAGCAGGAAAATGTGTGGATATGTGTGAGAAAGTTTTTATTTAAAGAGCAAAGATTTGGTAAATTAATAAAAGCTGAGGACTTTATAAAAAATAAAACAAATATTTTTTAAATAAAAAATATTTTTTTTCTCTATTTAAAATGAAAATAAAGTGTTTTACAATGAAATAGCTTCAAAAGGAATCGAACCTTGGACTAAAAATATGTTAACTTAAACAAAAATTTAACCAACTAAACCAGCAGATTTCAACTGGTAAAATACGGAAAATAACGATTGTCGTCACTTAAACGGCTATAACTTTTTTCGAAGTTATCAAAATTTCTTGAACTTTTTAACAAAATAAACTAGAGACTCAGAGCTCTCGAAAAATATAGTATACGTTCGGATTGGGTTAAAAACAAAAAAGTTATAAAATTAGGAAGAAATCCACCTTAAACGAAGAAATAACGATTGTCGTCACTTAAACGGCTATAACTTTTTATGAGGTTATCAGATATTTTCGGTCTTTTTAACTAAAATAAACTAGAAACTCAGAGCTTTCGAATGGTATAATATACGTTTGGATTGGGTAAAAAAAAGTTATAGAATTAGGAACAAATCCACATTGCGAGAAGAAATAACGATTGTCGTCAGTTAAACGGCTATAACACTTTTTTTCATAATCAATTATTCATGATCCTTTTAACAAAATAAACTAGAGACTCAGAGCTTTCGAATGGTTTTAGTTTCATCCAGATTGGTCAAGAATTAAAAAAGTTATGAATTTTTAAAAACACATCTCAAAATAGCAAAATATTTAAATTTAAGCCTAAAATATTAACAAATTGGCATAATGTTTATTTTGACGTTTCGTCTCATTTTTATGACTACTGTATCATTTTTACCTTCTTTTCCTTAATTTTTAAAATATTTTTCAAATTTTTTTAAAGGTTTAGTTTAAAATTTTTTCAATGTCTTTAATATTTTGGCCAATAACTGATCAAGCAGATGTCGATTCAGAAGAAGATTGGGTGTGTTGTGGAATAATGCATGCCTTTTTTGGTTCGATGCTTTTTATGTTTGGAGAACTTACAAAATTTCCAACAATGCTGTTTATATATAAATATATTTATGAATTTGTGAGTTTTTTTAGATCATTTTTAAAATCGAGAAAAATGTGGGAGAGGAAAACTAAGCAGGAGTGTATAAATTTGGGGACTTTTCTTTAACTCTTGGTCAAGTTAAAAATGGCTCAAATCCTGACAGCCAGGTTATTGCTTTCAAACTTTTATATCTTTGGGTCTGAACTCTTAAACTTTATAGTGTCTTAAATTTTCGGACTTTTGTTTTTTGCGGACAGAACTTTTTTGTCTTGTCCGCAAAAAATTTGCGGACAAAAATTTGCGGACAATTTTGTCGGAAATTTACGATTGCGTCTCATTTGCGTCTCGATACTCTCCATAGTTTTGTCCGCAAAAAATTTGCGGACAAAACTATTCTGTTAATTTTTGGGAAAGGGACTTTTGAGTCTCGTATAGACATAATTTAATAGATAACCTAGAAGATGTCCGCAAATTTTTCTCATTTGCGGACTTATATTTGCGGACAAGTCTTTCTAAACTTTATTTATTTAGTCAATTTTGCCTACTGGATTCTTCAAAGTTGTATTCATAAATGACGAGTTGATTCAGTGGATAATGTTTATTACTGTATTGCCTGGAATTGTTGCATATTTAAGAATTGTAAGGAAAAATTTTTCGTTTTTAAAAATTAATTTGACTTAAAGTTATTGTGTTTATATTCACATGTTTGTGCTGAATGGCATCATAAATTGGCTATTATTTGTATGGCAATCTATTTTATTAGGCAAGTTTGTATCCGCAAAAAATTTGCGGATTAAGCTTGTGTCCGCAAAAAATTTTGCGGACTTTTGAGTCTCGTATAGATATCATTCGAAAAAAACGGGTGAGGGACGATTAAGTACGCCGATTTAATATCAGGGGCATTTTTTGGGCCATAACTTTTTTTGATTCTTAACCTGTTTAAATTGGTTATGGTCTCGATACTGAATCGTCCTTCTCTGCCTGAAAAATTTTCTAGAATTATCCTGATTCTGATTATACATCGTTTTTTCCCTTTAAAAATGTGCTTGGGACTCTGGATATCTTGCCCCTTAATTTAGTTTTAAGTCATTCTTTTCTCCATGATTATCATCTTTTTTCCTCAAGCAAGGTATGAAGGTATATAATAAGGGTACAACCCAACCTACCGCGGGGCCAACCTACCGCCGAGCTATACCTTCGTTCAGAATTGTCAAATCCGGGGCACCCTGGTATGGTTCGATGCGCCTCGACGAGCTGAATCGAACCATATCAGGACATCCCGGATTCGACAATTCTGAACGAAGTTAGAGCTCGGCGGTAGGTTGGGCTCGCGGTAGGTTGGCCTGCTCCCATAATAAATCAAACGTAAAAATGAATGATAATTCATTAAATATACCCAGAAAGAACAACTGATACTCAAACAGGAGGAGGGGGGAAGGGAGATATCCAAAAAAGACCCTCACATGGTTTTTGGATTTTTCCCGAACATTAGGTATCAGGGTTGCCGCCCGGAATCAGTGACTCGAAATGAAAACGCTCCAACCCGAAACCCGTACCCGAAGATTTTTTGTACCCGCGGCAACCCTGCTAGGTATATAAATGAAGGCACTGTATTTTGCATAAGGGAGAGAACAAAAAAACAATTTTAATTTTCACCACAATAATTTTTCAAAAATTTTTCAGAACCTTATTATTCACTCTATACGCCCTCATAATCACAATTAATGCATTTCAACTTATTTGGGGAAAAGGCTTTATTGACGGGTTTCAACAGGCTGCCGGCTATGTGATTTGGTTAACCATAACTTTTGATTACGGAATTGGAAGTTATTTGAGTTATTTATCTCTTGATTTTATGATGCTTAGATACAGGCAGCCTTTTTTTAATTAAAAAAATTTATATTTAAATTTTAGAGGCTATTGGGGAAATATGCCAAAAGTATATGAAGAAGACGTTTTTCGTTTAAAATGTGAATAATTTATTTTTTTTTTGAAAATCAAATTTTTTTGTGATTTTTTGATGATTTTTTAATTATAAATAATTTATAATATTTTCTAAGACTTTCGATACTCTTGTGTTATATGTCCACATTTTCCGGTACTTTATTAATATCCCACCCTCATCCCTATTTGAGTTTCAGATTAATTTTCCTTTTTTGCAGTCAATCATTTATTTCTCTCCTTTTCTAATGCTAATCATTTTTTCCTTCAAAACCCAAGAGGGCGCGCGGCCATAACGGCGCAAAGTTATAACCTTCAGTAAAATCTTTGGACGTAGTCATTTTTGTATAATTATCTTTAACTCGATGTGTGGAATTGTTTAATATTAATTTTGATAAGTTTCGAAAATCTTGAAGCAGGTTATGGCTTTGCGCCTTTAAGGCCGCGCGTCTTTTTGGGTATCCCATATCTTAAGGAAAAAATGATTGGCATTAGAAAAGGAGGAAATTAATAAAGTACCCATTTTTCTTTTTTTCCGAATTCGATTGTCCACAACTTTTTTATGCTTAGCCCAATCCGGATGAATCTTATATCATTCGAAAGTCCTCGATAAGCACTATTCATTCCAACTAGATTGATCATACTAGCGGGGCTAGTCACTGATCTCCGTCGTCCGTCCCATTCCATTCGCCGTCATTGTACATTTCCACATTGGATAAACTGTTATTCTTGTGCACATCAACATTAGACAACCCTCAGACATAACCGGACAGCCTCATGTTGCATTCGATTATTTATGTTGTGTATGGGCGTCAGCCCTTAAAGTATTCACTATAAAAGCCAGTGAAAGCGGCAGTCTAGTTGGATCAGACTAGCGGGGCTAGTCACTGATCTCCTTCGTCGGTCCCATTCCATTCGCCTTCATTGTTCATTTCTACTTTGGATAAAGTGCTATTATTGTGCTCGTCGACATTAGTTAAATCTCGGACAGACTTCGGGTCGTAACAATTTAATCCTCACTTTAGTTTTTTAATTTATTTATCGGACACAGTATAGCTTTAAAGAATGCTTAGAATTTTTTTTTATTTCTAAGAATTAAATTAAAAATTAAAATTTTCACCTGCAAATTAAAAAGTAAGATAAACATTATTTACATTTAAAAATTAAAAATTCGTTAGAATTTTTAAAATTGGTTTAACAAAAGTTGGCAATTTTAAGAGTGGGCAGATAACGTTAAACAATCTGCTTCTAATAATTATATAGAAAAAATTTTTTTGTTTATCTTAAAGGGACTCTAAGTAAATGTCAGGTGAAAATATTAAAATTAATTAGACGACTTTTTACTTTGAAATAAATATTTTTAAAAAAATTTTTTAAAAGACAAATTTTTAAATGAAAAATTCTTAAAGCAAAAAGAAAATATTTAGCCACATTTTAATTAAAAAATTAAAATAAAATAATGTCCAATTTTCTTGATATTTTACTTAAATTTGATTATTGGGGCAGTTTATTACTTGGTTATCCTCTAAACATTATTCTGATTATTTTAATTATTTTTAAAACACCAAAAGAAATGGAAACACACAGCAGAATTCTGATACAAAATTGTGTTTTGGATATTTTAGTATTAACGTTTCAAATGTTTATTCAAGTGGTAAACGTTTTTATTTGACTAAGCTCGTCAAGCCCTTCGAATAACATATAATTTGTCAATTTTAGAGTACCGTATAACCTGTATTAATTGCCCTCCCTCAAATAATTACCCCACTTCCATCAATTACCCCATCCAGTGATAGATTGAAACAATAATTACCCCCAAACAAATGCCCTAAAACACGTTCAAATTTCAAACCTCGTATAATTACCCTCCCTCGATTATTTACTACCTCCAACGGAAGGTCGAAACAATAATTACCCAGGGTAGTTATTAAAGGATATACGGTATGGAGGCTCAAAGCAAATTTTTCCGAAAATTTAATACTGCATAGAAGATTTTAAAATATTAAGTTTGTTATAAATGACAACAATGGAAATTCAGTCTTTATTTTTACTAACGGCATTTTTGTTAAATTTGTGGAAAATAATTTCAACAAAATTATCTGTATAAGCTTGGTAATTATTGTTCAATTTTTTTTCATTATAAATTTGTATGGATTGTGTGCCCAATTTGTTTACAGATATTTAATTCTGAACAGGTAAAACAAAACAAAATCAAAATTAGTTCAAAACAAAACTTGATTTTATAGAAACATGAAGCTAAAATTTCGACGTTATCTGTATATGTTTTCGAGTGTGTTACTAGTTGGTGTGTTTTATAATCTGATTTTTATTTTCTTTGCCACATTTGATGGAGGCTTTAAAATGTTTGATGAAGTTAACAGAACATTGCCATTTATTATCATGAAGTCAACGGTATCAGAATTATTTTAAAACATACTATTAGAGTTAGGATGGCGTGAGATACAAAAACCACAGCCTTTCTTTATACTTAATCACTGGAGATATGGACTAGTGGGTCAATGTCCAGCTCGCGACCCACATGTCCGCAAAGGCATTTCTGTGAGGTATTGACCCTAGAGCGGCTCAGGAGCCATCTATTCCACCCAAATCCAACTATGAATTTAATTCGGGTCAAGTAATATAGATAAGTAATATATAGCGGACAGAAATAACAGGCTTAGGAGCCACAAAATGCTTATGTTGAGCGTCTAATGTAAATTTTTTGAAGCAAGATTTGCCATCAATAATTATGATTCTAATTATAATGCTTCCCTTTGTTTTAATTTTTATTTGTGGATTTAAAATGGTTTATTATGTTAATTCACATACTGGATTTGATCAAAATATGAAGAGATTACTTAAACAATTGACAATAACTTTGATAATTTTGGTGAATTATTTAATTATTTGAATATAATTTAAATTTAAATTTAAGGCAATTATTCCATTTATTAATCAATTTTTGGCTTTATTAGTTATATTTTTTAAATTAAACAATGAAACTTCGAATAATGAGAATAGCAAAAATATTATTTGTATATTTCTTGTAATATTCACTCATTTTACACCCGTTTTTAACCCAATTGTTTGTATAATAACTAATAAGCCATACAAAGAAGCTGTTTTTAATCGTTTAAAAATACATCCACAATAAATACCGTAAATGCTCTAATATAAGCCCCGGGCTTATATTTTTCAAAGATCGCTTTGAGTGGGCTTATATTGGAGACTGGGCTTCTATTAGAGTCAGGGCTTGTATTTTTAACCTTCTTTTCTAAATAAAAATAAATTTTTAATGAGCATTTACGGTACTTTATTTTATGTTAATAAGAGAAATGTTAATATTAGAGCCCGGACGGAGAGCTCGGTCGATATATATTTTTTCGATAATATCGAAAATATATATCGAAAAATATCGAAAAAATATTGTATCGATCCGGGCTCTAGTTAATATACATACCGTATTTTCTCGATTAATTCCCCTGGGGAATTAATATTTCAACCATGCGTGGGATGGGAATTATTCGTGCTAGAGATTGGTCTGGATCTGGATCCAGTCTGGATTTTTCCTGGATCCCGAGTCATGATCCAGGCATATTTTATCGTCCTGAATTTTTCCTGGATCCAGATCAAGAAACCTGCCCAGGTTACTAATCTAAATCCAGAATCCACATCCAGGATTTTTGAAAATACCGATCTCTACTCATTCCCCTTATACTTTTCAACGTGGATGCTCGAACTTTAGTAGTTTCATTTCGATCTTTCATGTACCTTTTCCAACTAAGTTCATTTCGGAAGGAAACAGAAAAGACCTTGTCAGATAAAAGCGAAGTTCGAGGCTTTGCTCAAGCGTCTT